ACAGTCTCAGGGTCGATATTTTTAAAAGCATGGGCCGCGCACGGCCCCGAATAAGAATACCCAGCGTGCCTTAGAGGTTAAGAAACAGATAAGGTCACGTACGGTGAGATTATTGCCTTTGCTGGGCCGTGTTCACCAGAAGCACTGTCAAGCCAAGTGGAAAGCTGCAAATTGAGCTCCTTAGCTAAACAAGATCAATTTGAGAAAAGCCCTTACCGTCCCCTGTATACCAGCTATTACTGTGAGATGCTCGTCTGATTTTCATCCTCAAAAGTATACAGGGACCGGCTGAAAGCAAATTTATCAGGGACGCTCAAACAATTTATTTTTTTCACCCGCGTTAATTTCAGTTTATTTTAAAAAAGGGCCAAGGATATTTCTTTAAATTTATATAAGACCTCGTTTTTGTACAGGATGTGTTTTCTTCAGAAAATATATTCGGCAAACGGAAACGTAATTGCCTTTAAATTGGCGTTCTGACAGTTCTGCGCCCTTGTCGGTCTCGGTTACCCCCTGGCGCTGGAGGATTTCATCGAGGTTCCCAGCACAACTTAACTGCGATCTTTTTTACAAAGCCACAAGCGAAGGCGCGAAATTTTATGCTAGAAAGTCTTTCTTCAGCAAACTTGAGGCACGACCTTGGGATTGGCTTCGAAACGTGATGGTTAACTCTGACACAATTCCTGATTTTAAGCAACGGCTTAGTGGCATCATATTTGACAAAAGAAGTCTCTCGCGACATTAAAAGATAATAATGGTTTGAAAATGGTTCAGAAAATGCAGTTAAATCATAAAAAGTCTAAGTACTTTTTCCAACGTTTACAGAATTCGTGCTTTGAATCTATTTCCTCTTAGGTACAGGCGTACCCGGGATCGCATGCAGACCTTTTGGATTGTGAGGAACCGAGCCCATGCTCTATACTTTCACGTGCTCTCCTCAATGGCCACAAAATCTTGCTGCGCGGAAATTGGATATTTGTCGCCAATCGTTTTCACAACGAATTATGGGAACCACAGTAGACGCGTCTCCGTCCGCCTTCCCACCCGACCCCCAACGGCCAATGTCTGCTACACTCATCTCCCTACGTTGGGTCAACCCTCCCCCCAGCCCAACCCATGTTTTTGATGACGGAGCAGCCCCTCCCGGCCACGCCGCTCCG